CCCCAAAACCCCAAAACCCCAAAACCCCAAAACCCCAATAGAGAGCCCCGAGTTGATGATGTAAACCTTATTTTGAGTATATATAATAATTAATAAAACTTCCATATTTTTTGAAAACTCGTCGAAGAAAGTAGGTTTACAGTCATTTATACTTAACTTCCTGCTCACTAATTACAAAGCTGTATTACTATTCCCATATTTGGGCTGAAATTATACCTCGGCCATTACTAAAATAGACCAGCCTGGCTGTTCAATATAAAATTCCCAACATCCAATAGGTAGTGTGAGGAAGTTAATGGTTGGACATAAAATGCCTCTTGACAACTCTTAGTAAAATAAAAATTGCTATAATTTTCCTTAACACTTCTAGGGTAGAAATCAACTAAAATCTGAACTGACGGTCCCAAAATCATATTCTGGTCACTCTAAAGGTCCCGAGATTTAAAGACTAGGGTGCATTGTCAAGTTCTGAGTGAAATTTATCCTATAGAAGTGTGAACTGATTCGTTCAAGTTTATCTACATGCAAGTAAAAACTACTACTCGGGTAAAAACTGAGTGAAAACTGACCGATGACTGTGAAAATGGGTAGCAAACATTTCGAGGGAAGTGTGGAAAAATCAGCTGTATAGGCCACCTCACCATTTCTTTCTTAACCTCCTACATGTTTGTACCTGTAGTAGCCTAGATGGGGATTATCTTGTTTGCAGGATTTCATTTGGGATTTTACCTAAATCTGTATATTTAAGCACCTTTGTGCGCCCAACCAGTTGCAAATTTTTCAAATTTCCAGCTGTTTTAATACAAAATACTCTACAACTTCTCAAAAATGGATTGGAAATCAGTATAAATCTCCTAGAGCTTACTGATCGGCTAGGCTCATTAGAGCAATAAGCGGGTTGAGTAGCTTCAGCTAGACTTTAAACAAGACTATTAACCGTAAAATCTCCTGAAGGGACTTGTGTGGCTCTTTAGATGCCATTCTTCTACCACTTAAAGAATTTCTTGAAAGACAATAGCCTTCACACTTCAGGACATTTTTAATTTTATGAGGAATAATATTTCATGCTTAGTCAGACTCATACTAAGTATTTTCCAGAGAAATAAGCAGAGGGTCTATTTTAGTCTAGTGATGCAACAAAGCACATGTGAGTATTTTCAAAGCAATCTTCTCCATGAAACAGAGACCTAGAACTTGATAACTGCTTATAAGTATCAAAATGTATTAACTGATTATATTTTCAAGACCTGACTTAAGTCCGGGGTTTTGGGGTTTTGGGGTTTTGGGGTTTTGGGGTTTTGGGGTTTTGGGG